AGAGTGGGAGAAAAATGTGGGGCAAAACTCAAAATCATAAGAAAAAGACCAGATTAACTGGTCTGACAGAGAAGAGTGAAACCCCCAAGGCTATGGCCCCTAATCGCTCCTCAGGCCTGGAATTGAACTCAGTCCTGCAGCTTAACTTCCAGCCAAACGACAGAGAGGACTACAAGGTAAACAATTACACCAGGTAGGTACACTCCTTAAAACAATCAACCATGGGAGATCAGAAGGGAAGCATTTGTGTAGCGAGATAGCTCAGAAGGCAGGAACGGACAGGAAAGGACACAGGGAAAATGTAACCACAGGGAGAAAGTGGGAAGACAGCTGTTACAACATTGTGGAGATTACAGTCAAAGTCACAAAACAAACTGTGTATGAGTGAATTGTTGAATAGAAAACAAATTTGCTGTGTAAACTTTCACCCAAATCACAGTAATAACAACAACGACAAAGTGTTAATTTCATGCTACCTTCTGTATAGCAAAGTAGAGGAAATAAAACATTTTTATTGGCTTGCTTTTACACATATAGTGGCAAGATGTTGAGGAAAGTAATGAAGCCAGTTAAAAGAAGCTGTGGGAAAAGCAGTGGGCTGGAGGAGGACAAGAGTAGGAACAAGTCTTCATAAAGTATACTTTTTTTTTTTAAATTGCGATTTGAGTGAAAGTTTACAGAGCAAATTCTCTTTCCATACAGTAGTTCATATACACGTTGACTACAATTTCCCACAATGCAACAGCTCCCCTCCCACTTCTCCCCATAGTTACCTCTTCCCTGTGTCCTTCCCTCCATGCATTCCTGCTCCCTGAGCTTTGTCCCTGTGCATACACAGCTCTTCTATTCTCCCATGACTGTTCTCTCCAAGGAGTGTATCTACATAATATAAATGTTCACCTCATATGCCTGTCTTTTGTTTGGCTGAAAGGCACAGGAGTGGGTTCAATTCTAGACCTGGAGGGCAGCTAGAGGCCATAGTCTCAGCGGTTCCACTAGGCTCTATCAGACCAACAAACCTGTTCCTTTTTTTTTCCAAAAGATTTTGAGTTTTGCTCCACATTGTTCTCCCACTCTATCCAGGATCTCCTGCATAGAACCCCCTCTCAGTGGTTGACACTGGTAGCCAGGCACCATCTAGTTCTGGTCTCATAGTCATATAAGCTGAGGATCGCATGCTGTACCAGTCACTTAGACTAATTGTTTCCATGCATTTTTGGTTTTCTTCATTCT